AAAAAAAAAAAACACGTCTTTATTGAACTCTTTATGGTTATGGCTTCGGAACTGAAACAGGAAATTAATGCTGTTACAGATTCTGATGAACCGATTACGTAAGCATCATACTCCTTCTCTACTTAGTCAACACTGTTGTCATCATCACCGTCATCATCCTTTCAGCATCTGTTTTCTTCATCTGAAGCTTCTCCTGTGCAGCAATCCATTTGCCAGTGGTTAGTCATATATTTTATGTGTAAACAGATACTGCAGTTTGATGAACATCGTAAAAACAGCAATAACAAAAACAAAAACAATAGCAATCAGTGTTTCCGTAACTTTTTTCGGTTTTTCTTCCCTTTCATGGTATCTTCCATCTTCATTTAAACAGTTAATAAAAATAGCAGCAAAATAAAATTATTTTATTTCTTTTTTTTATGACTGCCATCTGTACAGCCATAGTAACTGGATGCTGTTTTGTTTGTCGGTATAAGCAAATCTTGGTCATCCCTTTATCACACTGATTGTTCAAGAACCACCCGGTTAATGAAGTATTACAAACTGTCACAGATTCTCATTAAAAAAGAAAAAAAAAACAGATTTTCCTGTTTGACATGTGACTTAAAGTTGCTTAAACAACAAAAATAATTTTAAAAACTGTTAAAGTAGTTTTTTTTTCTGTTTCTAACAAGACCCTTCTGTTTCCACTATGACCAATTGATAGCTGTTTCATCTTATCCAATCTTTTTGAGAGAGAGAGAGAGATCAATTTGAGAGATCAAAACTTATAGCTAATTATTTTTGACCTCTGTTATCGAGGCACATTCATTTGATTAGAATAAATTTTTCGATGGTGATTAGTGGTGACAAGCTACCGTCTATATGTCTCCGATATTGGTCGGCATTGATACTAATACTGATACAGCTGCATACTTCGTCGATCAGCACTTTTGACAAAGAATTTTTGTTTTTTCCCCCAACAATTGAAGAAAAAAAAAAAAACGGTACTTTGATGTTGAAAACTGAACATGACAATAAACTGCTGTCCACCTGAATAAGTCGGTGTTGCTTTCTGAAGACTTCTTAAGCATAAACACCTATTAGACGTTCAACGTACCAGTGAATCATTTAAACTTATACAATACTTGTATAATCGTATTATTACTAATGTTCTGTCTGTTTTGGCAATACGCAAAAAACAGCTAAATAAATCAAGAAAAAGCTTTTTTGTTTTTTTTTTTTTGTTCATCAACGTCCAATCATAAAATGACATTTGTGAGCTGGTAAATCTGGCTTCAATTTCAAGTATTTTACTGCTGAGCAATTCATATTAAAAGACCACCATCTTAATAGCATTAGTCACCAAATTTGTATACCGTTTTAAAACCATTTTAACTTTCAAACTTTTTAACGTTTCATTCGACTTGTCCCTGTAACATTAAATATAATAATGTTTCGTCATCAAAATAAAACGAAAAAAAAACCCCAGAAGGCAAGGCTGGACCAAGAAGAAAAATAGATGAAACAAATAAACTGATTGCTACTTGTGAGCAATGAACTTAAATTATACTCAGAAACCTGACTTTCAAATTCCTCGTTACCAGTGTTTAAACTAAAATATAAGCTATCGTTGTCAAAACCAGCTTTTTGTAAATTATTTCTTTATCGACGACAACGTCGAAGACGACACTCGTCCTTGCAACAATTTGCTAACAGCAGTTACTCAACTTATTAAATTTGCCACAGAAATCGGAGAACCATCTTTACAACATCAAAAAACATTTTTTTTTTTTAAAAAAACTTCTAAAAAATGGTGGAAAATTTTTTTTATTGGAACCAGAAGCTTCATTCAACAACCGAAATAGGTACAATAAAGCAAAATAACACGTCCAACACAGTAAAAGACTGTCGCCGTATGAAGCAAAATGGCAACAAATTCTCCCCGTATATCAGTGAAGTTTTTCGGTGGAAAAAAATTCCGCGGTGTTTATATCACGCGACTTGTTGCACGTGTCGATGACAAAACTGTTGTTGAAGAAAGCCTATCAGCTCAGCTGTCACAGCAAATCCGTTCAAACCTTGCCAGATGGGCACAAGCATTCTTACTCCTTCCTTACTTTATTCTTAGGTTTCTTTGTCGCCATATACCAATAGACTTCTTTTGTATGCTTTCTAACAGAGCTTACAGGTTGTTTTTTTTTCCACATCTCAAACTCACCCTGTCATTTTTGCTAGCTCGTTAAGTATCCTCTCCTCATATTCTCTAAATATTTATCGAATTTTGAAATACAAATTTTCTTACT